ACAAATTCATGCAAATCATATTTTCACCCGTAGTAAGTTCATTTCTTTGGCTGTCCCGTAAGATGGCATGTTCCCAGCAGGAGCTCTCTACGCACATTGTTACCGCCGATATCGGTCGCGGAGACCACGTTCGTCGGAGGCAATCAGGGAAACGTAGTGCCAGGGAATGGCGACCGTTCCGACAGGCCGGAGCTCAGCGAGGCCGAGTGCGATATCGACTCCTTGAAGAAGCTGAAACTCGGTTTAAGAAGCTCCCTCTGGTCAAGGCCGAGCACCCAAAATAATCCTTCCTCCGACTACTCTATCGCCGTTTAATTTGCCCCACTTTCTTCATTCTATGTGCCTCCTCTACTTCCCATATTGGACACGATAAGCCAAGATATCTTCGTTCTTCTTCCCTCTCTTGATCCCATGGTCCAAGGAAAATGAAAATCCATTCCTATCTGATGCCTTTGGCGTCAGATATTTCGACGTGATTAAAATTTAAAATTTAAAATAAAGAAAAGGAAGAAAAGAAAAGATGAAAAGATAGGACTTGGTAGCGCGTAACTACGCGCGTCCGTTTCCCTTTTTCTCTCTGTCGATTATATAGATGAAAAATTAAATTATATTCGATTGATCGGCAGATGAATCGCTTGTAGATAACGAAGAGAAGTAAAAAAAAAAAAAAAAAAGGAGAAATTTTAAATATCACGAGATTCATCGTATCACGTAACACATCGTATCGTATCGTTAATAATTTCGAATGAATTGTTATTATTTATAAGTCCAAGATCTTCGTTGAAAGAACTCGAACGTAACTTTTACCTTTCTCTTCTTTATCTATGACGCAACGATATATAATTACATATATATCAGTGAGTGCGTGTGCATGCGTAACGAGTGAATGAGTGAAGAGATTGAATGAGTTAATCGGGTGTGTAAGAGTGCGTGCCAAACGACAATTTGCTCAGACTCGCTGCGACTCGTTTGCCGGCGGGCGACCCATTCGAGACCAAAGACTTAATCGTACGAGCAGAGCACGGGAAAGTCCTTGGAGCAGAATCGTGGAAAATGGCGTCGCATCGCAAATTCGTAAGAATCTAACGTTTCCATCTTTCTTTCGAACGTTGGACGATCAGCTTTGAAGCATTTGCATTTATTTACGTATTTGATCACGATGTCGCGTATAAATGGATACGTGATACGTAATTATCGATAAGGTTATGAGGATGGGACGGAACGTGATTGAGAAAACGTTTACCCGACGACGGTGAAATTAATCATTGCGTAACTAATTGCTGCGATTTAAGCAACGTGTCACTTCTCACACGTCAAACCGGGAGCATTTATTTTGGTCACGCTGGCCTACACCGTTCGATCCTCGATTCTATGTAGATCTTCGTCGTTATTCTTTGCGACCACATTCCTAAGTTTCAAACACATACCTACATCGATTCGATCATTACGAAACACTTTAAATCTGAAAAATCTATTCTTGATTAATATTTTATAAGTTGTAACGAATAGTATATAATACGTATATTTTTGTAATTTTTTTTTTTTTCCTTTTTAAATTACTCTTTTCAATCTATTTAAAATCTTTTATCATTTCTATGTCTCGAAATTGATCAATCAAAACGTATTCGAAGAATATTTGATAAAGTCTTTTATTTTAATTTAAAAAAAATTTAACAATCAGGTAAATTGATTTATCGATAAATTAAATATTAATGATTAGAATTTAAAAAAGTTCATTTAAAGATACAATTATTTTGTTAAATTTTATGTAACTAGTTTAAACTTTTTCTTTTTTTAATAGACTCTCATACTCTCTTCGAACAACAACGAATCTTAATAAATAATTCAAAGCTCGTTCGTAACGTTCGTTGCCGAAAGAAGCGATTCCTTCAATCCGTAAGACTGATTTCCTTAATCTTCGTTCGATCGACCGAGCTCTTTCACAGAGTTCATATTTTATAATTTCAACGTATATGCATACGGATCGACGATAGGCGTCGTTTTCCGCTCTCGATTCGTGCTCGCCTCGTGTCCAGTTGCGTACGTGGTATTAGAATCGGGATGCAAGTTATAATAACCTGAGAGAAAACCGAGGATGACGTTATACGCGAAAAAAAAAAAATCTACGTGGAAAACGTGTTCGTGGAAGGTTTTTAAAAAAAGACGACAATGAGACGTGCTCGTCCGTTTCTCCAAGCACGGGCGGCACGTCCAAGGTTGGGCTCTGTTGCATTGTAAAGTTTATACGTACGTCTAAACACCGTTGATTACTTTAAGTCCGTTATATAAATCCTAAGACTTCTAAGTAAGGCATTATTTCCGCGTGCGGGCAACTCAAGCACGCCTCTCTCCTGCTCTGTACATTTTTCGCCGTGCCGACGAACTCTAGTCTAGAACGTCGATGGCGTCCGTTTCGATGCCATACCGTTCGGTCAGATTACACCAAAAAAAAAAAAAAAAAAAAAAAAACATCCCTCTTCGAATGTCGCGCACTCGAGAGACCGCGAGACTCGCGAATCGTAATTCAAAATGTCCGGGCGGTCGTTGTTTTCTCCAATCGAACGCTTGATTCGCGTGAAACGCGAATAGGCAGATACGTTTTTAAACGAGACTTAATCCAACGAATCTGTTCTCGCACGATTCCAGACTGAACTTTTATCATCATTGTATGAGGTAATTCTTCGTTTTTATTCTTCGAATAAAAAAAAAAGAAAAAATGAAAAAAAGAAGAAAGCATATCGATCTGGTCAAAGGTCAAAGATAAGGAAATTGTTGCACACGTAAGTTGCGACGAATTTGTAGTTAGTTACGTTTCCTTAGACTGATTTGAAAGTAAAAATAACGGTTATCGTGTTCAAGCGTGTTTTCACGCTTATCCTATCTTTGACGAATTTTAATACATACACACACACGAACACATACACATATACACGTACATTACCACTGCCATTCTAACTCCAAAACTGCCAAAATCGAAATTTCTAATTCCAGAAACGATAATTTTAATCATTCATCAAAATGACGAGTTTTCGAGGTTTTTAAGGTTTTAGAAAACATTTTTTCAACGAATTTTATGATAAAGTTAAATAATCGATGATTTTATTCATTGATTAAGTTCCGTGCGCGACACTGCGAAGACAAGGGCATAGGTATACGTATATATAAATTTATATAAATATATATATGTACTTAAAGCGCGTGTAAGCGCATGCATTACGGTTAACATACATGAATGTATATATTGAGAAGCACGTCAATCAAACTCGTAGAGTTCGATTAATTTGTTAGATCCTTATCGGGAAGCGGGTATCGTTCATCGTTGCGATAATAAAGTTTTTGTACATGTTTTCTTATGTCACCGACCGACTGACGTCCGCTCAACGAGGACTCTGTACATTTTTCCATTTTTCTTTTGATATTCGATTTTTTCTTCTAGGAATTTCTGGCTCCAATCAAAAAAAAAAAAAAAAATTCTTAACAGTTACACATGTACATTTCGAAATTATTAATCTTGAAGAAATGGATTTTTATTTTCATTTTTTTGTCAGTCAATAAATATTGTACATTGTAAGTAATTTAAATTATGTCATAATTATAGATCCATAGAGGAGTATAAAAAACTGGCCTAGTTTTGAAATAACTACGTTTAGATGAAAAATGCAATAAATATTTAATAAATATTTATTAATCTCGGAAAAGGAGGTTTATACATGATGTTAAACAAGAAAAGCGCCGGAAATTCCATAGAAACACGCCCTATACTGCGAATTATTTTTACCGCGTTAATCGTTGGGATACAAACGACCCTCACGATGCTGTATGTTTTAGTTTTAATAACGGTGATGTTACTTAGAACGTCTCGAGATATTAAATGAATCGATGTTCTTACGACTTATTATCGAACATAATACAAGAAATTTCAACAAACAAAAGCGATAAAAGTTCATCGAATCGATCGCTAACAGATGTAAGATTTTACGTCCTTCTGAAAAATCCAAACTAGTCGTATACAATTATAAGTACTAAAAAAAAAAAAAAAAATAAGATATAAAGATAAAATATAGAAAAGGGATTTTTAGATAAGCATAAGTTGTACAACGTTATTAAATAATATAAAAATTTCATCGATGATGGACTTTCTATCGCTAATTATTCTCATTTTTCTCGTGTATTGATTTATCTTATCATATGAATTAATCAAACTTCCCACGATCGAAAATTCTTCGTACGAAAGCAATTGCGTATCTTTATTTCGATTATCGATTTAATATTTGAAGATTACGTCACCGATTTGATGAATCGCGTTTTGCGAATGAACAAAAGCGTGAGAAGTGAGCAAATCAAACGAACAATTATTACTGTAACTATTATTAGCATCGTTGTAAAAAAAAAAAAAAAAGTAATAATAATAATAAAGAACTGAAGAAAGAAAAAGGTAAAAAAAGAGGAAAAATGACGCGAATGTGAAGAGTGTGTCTGCGTATCGAGATTCTATTCTTGAGTGGCATAGCCACGTGCGGAAGGAAAAACGTGATTGAGAAAATCGCGATTGTTTCCTCTATGTTTTAAACGATCGCTATGAAACGATGTGTGGCTATTATGCCATTGGTTGAAATTGTATTCAAGTCGGTGGTGTGGCGTTTCGAAGCATTGTGTCGATCGTAGTATCGATAAAATAAATTGATATCCTGTAAAGTACCGTACGAAAATTATTCTTGTCGTTTCTTTGCTACCCTTTGATAATTAACAATTCTAAAAATAAGTTACTTTTTAAATAAATATATATTATTATATCTATTTTTATAGATAAATAGATATATTTTTATAGATATATAGATAAATAGATATATTATTCGTTACAAGTAAATAGATGTTATATATTTAAATATATTAAATTAGTAATTAGATAATTATTTTATCTATAATTGAATTTAAATATTATGTGGAAAAAAAAGTGAAATATTTGGGTATAATTTTTAATAGAAACATACTGACGTAGAAAATAGCAGAGTTTGATATTACAAAAGTTAATATCCGGTGAGTTCGGCGAACGTGGAGTCCATGTCGTCGCAGATATATTTGTACTTTTCTTTCTCTCTAAATAGAAAGTCTGAAAGAACGAAAAGCACGATTGTAAATGCAGAAAAAGTTTTATCGGGAAATATAAAAAAAAAATCATGAAACGAAACATACCTTCTCTCGCATCCAATTCTTTCGAGAACATTTTTACCATCTTTTCCGCAATGATGGCTCTCTTTTCAGCAGTTTTCAGTTTCACTTTCAAGTCCTTCAACTGTGTTTTAAATTCCTCTACCCTTTGATTAGCCTATGAAATGTCAAAAATATTGTTAACAAAATATCAATGAACAATAAATAAAATTTTATTACCTTTTCTTCGGATACTTCTAAAGATTTCAATATATTACCAACAATGAATAATTCGTCCTCTCGTTCCATTATTTTTCTGTGAATCGTTATAGACGAAATTAATAAGATACAAGACTAAAATTTATTCAAAATTAATTAAAAATTTACGATTTCATTCTACATACGCCTCGCTCGATTTTACTCTCTCTTCAGCCGCTTCCAATTCATCCTCCACAAAAGCCAATTTCCTCGAGATCTCGTCCGATTTTGTATCAGCATCTTCAGCAATTAGCCTCGCCTCTTTTAGCTGAGTCATCAGTTGATCCATTCTTTCTTCATCCTGTTTGCTTCTATTCTCCAAAACTTTGCAGATACTAAAAGTAATAATTTACCACGAGGAAAATCTCAAACGTATATCATACTCTTCCTTTTTTTTTCTTTCACATAGAACAAACCGTTTCGCATCCTCCGCGGTTTCCATCGCTTGTGCCAGTTTAGCTTGTGCCGTTAAACGACGTTCTTCCGATTTCTCCAAATTCTGCAAGCATTGCTGCATCTTTCTGTTCAAAACTGCCAACTCGGATTGCGTCTATCCTCATTCAATAGGACAAGAATCGTTAAAATTATGTTTTTAATAATCAAAATCAGTTATTCTCAACCTTATATGATCCCCTTATGAGTTATAAACATATCTTTATTGTCATTGATTATCTAATGATTTTTAGATCATATTTTAATATAATTAATTATATATTGCAATCAGATAATATTTTGTTAGTTAACTTAAAGCAATGTTGCTAGTCATTCAACAGCATTATATTTATTGATTTTTTTAATTATCCTTATATAGAATCCTTATATAGAAAAAAAGATTACAAAAGAGTTATTTAAATATTTAAAAAAAGGAGATTACAATTGAAGAAAGGTTGGAAAACTGTTCAAAATTCATTATAAAAATGTTACGAATATGTTGAATTATATATTTATACAAATCACCAACCACAATATAAACTCTTTCTTTCTGCTCGAGGTCTCTATTCGACTTTTCCAATTGGGCTTTGCTCAATTCCAAGTCGCGTTCCATCTGCACCAATTTCTTTGCAAGTTCCCGAACCTCATCCCTCAACTTTTCTTCTCGTCGATTCGCCTCCTTTGCTTGCTGATCGCATAGATCAGCCTTGTCCATCGCCAGATCCTTCTCGATCTTCAGCATTTGCAAGCGTTTCTTTATCGCGTTCATGACTTTGATAATCAATTTTTCGACGCGAAACTACGTAAAAAATTCGTACAAAATTTAAGTTAATGAAAATGAAACATTGTCAATATGATATAATGAACTTTTTTAATTAAATATTCAATCGATATTTAATAAAAAATATTCAATTGATATTGTGTAATGAATTGTTATAATTAATAAGTGAATTTTTTATAAAACATGTAAAATATATGTTTAATAGTTTTGAAAAAATTGCAAAAATGTAGATCTTGGGAAGATATTTCGCGAATCTTGTTTTTTAAAAATAAATATTTCAAAAAGAGAAGAATCGAAATGTACGTGATCATTTATCAAATGACGTTAGAATAATATTTAATATAAATGGAAATATTCGATACGTATGAATCAATATTTTATAAAAAGAAAATTGAATATTGAACGTTAACGATTTTTATTGCAAATTCAAAAACTTAAATATCAGAAACACTTTTTTGTTTTTTAGCCCAATATTACACCAATTCATTATCATTAATATAATTATTCGTTTCATAGCACTTTCACACTTTAAAGCAGAACAAAGTCGAACAAAAACATTTTATTTTATAAATATATTTTATTTTATTGCATATTCGTGAAAAAACTGTGATCTTACGTATTAATTATTTTAAAACAAACAAAATTGGTAAAGATAAAATAATTCTTAGGTTTTTCAAAGCAAAGCTCGCGGGTTACTGCACTCCGTGACCGACGAGAACAATGCTTTATAGACTCAAAGAAATGCAAAAGAACCTAATAGGCCATTTCTTTAGTTAGACGCAAACGAATTCCTCGACTTCTCTAGACGTTTATGTTCTTTCGATAGTTCGATTGACATAAAGTTATAGATTCGGGTATTAAGAGGAATAAAGACAAATAACAACGATATTAAAAAAAATTATTTCTTATAATATATATATATCTCATATGATTAAATCATATGATTAAAAATCAAGCTTGCTCATAAAATAATAATAATAATAATAATAATAATAATAATAATAATAATAATGAAACTGATAAAATTAGTTTCTATGAATTCATTTAAACTAAACTAAAAAATAAAAATAATTTTTAAATAATATAAATATATAATATACATATAATATACATGTATATATAATATACAAATAATATACATATAGTAATATAGATAGATTCAATTATTTTTATCATATATATTATATTTGCTTATATATTATATTTTTTGTTATATATATATTATATGAAAATTAAATATTATATATAAAGTTAATTAATATAATTTAAAAAATGACTAATGTAATTATTACAAGAATAAAAATTTTTTTTAAATCTTTATTATTTATTTTTTCTTTTTACATTATTTTCAATACGATAGGATTTATTTTAATTAATCACGCTGTAAACAATTTTTTTTTTAAATACCGTTTATTGAAAATACAGATTTGGCATACAATGATAAAAAGGGGATACGGTATTGCACTTGTTTTCATGTACAGCAATTCCTCTTCAATGTCTCTGAAAGAAAAATAGGTGATGCCGTTAATTCTATCGAAAAGAGACTATTTGTTTCTGAAGCAACTAAGCTCAATTATCTCTGGCTCTGAAGCTTTAGCAGAGTGTTAAGCTTGAAGCAAAGCGATTAACAAAAACTATCTGTCTAATCACTTTCTAATCATATTAATTGCCATATTAATTGCATAATTTCTCATAATCGAATTAATTATATTATAATTATTTGAAGCCCCATTCAAACGTTTTCTTTTTCGCAGTACACATATACGACGAATACTTCAACGAATTAAATCAGCGTAGCTGAACACAGCCGACTGATGTCCATTATTAAATGTAGCGAATAAGCGGAAGAAGCTTAGAATAGCAAAATAAAAGAAACTCCATTCGTTTCTGTAATTTTAATATCCTGTCATTTCTGCGAATGTGGCATCCATGTCGTCACAGACCGCTTTGTATTTTTCTTTTTCTTCTCTGAGTTCATCTAAAACACAATTCAATTGTCATTGAAAAAATCTTATTAAAAAAAAAAAAAACCAGAATTGAATTCTTATTTCAATATACTATATATCATACCTTCCTTCATGTCGACTTCCTTCAACAATTTTTTCACCGTTCTTTCAGCATGAATGGCACGTTTCTCAGCCTCCCTCAATTTTTTTTTTAACTGTTTTAATTGTATTTTGAAGTCTTCCACTCGTGCATTAGCCTAAATAAATAAATTTAAAGAATAAAAATTGAATAAAAGAATAAAAATTGATATAGGATTAATTTGGAGAATTTTATTATACTTTAAAATTTTTATTTATCACTTTATGAATGATAATTATAATAATTACCTTTTCCTCGGATACTTCTAAAGATTTTACGATGTTTTGCACGATAAAAAGCTCATCTTCCCGTTCTATGATTTTTCTGTAAATACATGTTAAAAATGTAAAAGAAAAATTTATAGAAATTCTATAAGTTGAAAATATGTTATATAATTATACAAACGCCTCGCTGGTTTTCACTCTCTCCTCAGCTCCTTCCAATTCCTCTTCAACGAGCGCCAATTTCTTCGATATTTCTTCAGATTTGGCGTCTGCATCTTCAGCAATTAATCTTGCATCTTTCAATTCTTGCATCAATTTTTCCATACGTTCTTCGTCCAGCCGACTTCTGTCTTCTAATACTTTGCACATTCTAAGAAAAAAAAACATATCGATAAACTGAAACATATATGCTAATTATCCAATCCAATATTATCTATCATCCAATATTATATCTACAATCTTTACGAATAAAATTTAAAATTTTATTCGTATTTTAAAACATATTAAAATATATTTTGATCTGCGAATTTAAAAATGACGAAGAAAAAGGAAGATTCCAATATTTTATCTATCATATGAAATTCTTAATAAAAACCTTCGCGCATCATCCGCAAGTTCTGATGCACGTCCAAGTTTCGTTTGAGCAGTAAGACGTAATTCCTCCTTCTTCGTTAACGTTGCCTCAATTTCTTGCACCCTCTTGGTCAACGTGGTTCGATCTTGCTCTGCCTGTTAACGTCATTCATCGAATATAAACACTATCAACTTTCGTAAATCTGTTTAAAACACGTGTTTACGCACCTTAGACCAAGATTTTTCGCATTGTTCCAAATCAGCGGTGGATTGCTCTAAATTCGCTTTGGCCACTTCGTAATCTCGTTCGAGCTGAGTGAGCTTTTTAGCCAGATCCCTTACATCGTCGTTCAGCTTGTCCGCACGAAAGTTCTCTGATCTCGCTTTCGCTTCATTTGCCTCTACTTTTTCATTAGCGGCATCCATCTCTTGCTTCAACGCCGCAATCTTCTTTTTAATCGCCTCCATGATGACGATTTATGCTTTTCTACCCTTTTATCGTTTATCCTTCGTCGATAATTTGAACCTAATCAATTCATTAAACTTATTAACAACGATTTAATAATTATTAGATCTAATTTGATTAACTATATAACAAATTTAATATATCTTATTTTTTGATTCATAATATATAAATTAAAAGTGATGTTATTTCTATGTTGGTCTGATTATAATCGCGCCATATCTACTACAATTGAATCAATACACAAAATATACATCTGAAATAATGATTAATGAAAATAAATCTTCAATTCTTTTGAATAAAAAACAATGAAGGAACAAACTCTGAATTTATTTTAATTTAATGTAATATCAAACAAACTTTTTACTTTCATTATCATTATTGTTCGTATACAGTATACAATATTAAAAATGAGGGACCTAATATTCGTTCAACTTGTAAATCATTGCTACTTACCGATAAGTTACATTTAATAACAAACAACGTGGAAGAAAAGACAAGTTAGAGTTAAAAGGGGGACAACACTCACTGTTGTAATCGTGGCGATGATCCGCGATGAGAATGTACAACCGGATGCCTTCGAAAGCTAAGCTAAAATAAAACGAAACCGGCGTTGCAGGCCTCCTCGAACTTCTCGATCCAATCCAATTCTATAATTGCTTGTTGCCTTGTTGGCTATCGTCCCGATTTTATCCCGGCTCTTCACTGGCTGATTGCTACTCGCTGCAGTGGCTACCAACGAAACGCGATCTCCACCTCTCTTATGCTATTCTCGGCTCGAAAGAATTCCGTTCCTATTTCCTATCGACTACGTAACCTAGTCTACATAAATACCATAGTAAGATAAACATTCTCCGATTTTCCGATATTTTGGAAAATTTCTAATTTCGCGCCGCGTTCTCCACTTTACCTTTCTAGTATTTAAATTTTCCCGCTTCTACCAGCACTCGATCTATTCGAATCGATATCGTGCACAATGAGTACCAATGTACATTAGAAACGCGGGAATTCTATCTCGATAATTAAAAATGGTATGACAATAATTATTTCATGATAAAGATTATGAAGCAACATGATTTTATTGACATTTTTTTCCGGTATAAAAGGAATAATTACACATATCGTTCAGCTAATGTATTTCTCATTCTTTGACGTTACAAACAAATGCGCAGCATATAAGTTTTTCTAAGAATTCATATTCGCTTCTACTCTTGGCTGAATTTTTTTTTTTTTTACAAAAGTATGGATAATAAATATAAATACATCCTACTAAGTGAATATACGATAAATAAAATTTAACGCAACTTTTCGACACTTTGCAATAATTAAATAATTTTTCTTTGAATTTAATCCACAATGTAGAAATTTATTGAACTATTCTATATTACATTTTTTTTTTTTTTTTTTTACTATTTTAAAAGTTTAAGAATTTTTTAAAACACTAATATATTACTTCATCATCAATTTTGATTATAATTTGAAGGATATAATTTCCTAATGATATATTTTATCAAGTTATTATTTTTTATAATCTATGTAATATATTTTAGCAAATTTTAAGCAAATTTACAGATCAAGTTAAAAAAGAGAAATTTTGTGTAACATCGAAGTTAGTATAAAAGCTAGAAAAATTTAAATACTAT